TTTAAATTTGTATACGCATTAAAAGTATATGAATATACAACTCCTTTTTATTTTTATAATATCTCCGTAAAAATTACAATATTATATTATTGAATACCACTTTCATACTCAATTTAATTACTGTAATTATTATGTATTCATATATTATAATTATAAATCGGGGTAAAATTAAGGGAATAAGTGTTATTGTTGTTTTTGAAATAATCTACCAATTTCATTTTTTTCTATTAAATAATATCTATTTCAAACTTGCAAGTTGAGTTAAAAGTTATGGTAATAAATTCATTTTTTTTTTATTAAAACTTTCACTTTAAAGAACAAAAAGAAGTAGGTTCAAAATGATTACTTTTAACATATTAAAAATCAATAATAATTTGAAAATAATTAATTATAAAAATTATATAATATATAATTAAAAGAATTACTAATCTGGATATAATTAAGGAAATAGGAGTTGATGTTGGGTTGGGTTGGTTACATTTTTAACTTTATAATGCTATAACTCATTGAAAAGTGTATGAATCAACACAATTTTTTTATGAGAAATAATATTTTTTAATAATCCCTTTTTCATTCGACATACTTTATCTTAATCAGGGTATTAATAAGGAACTAGCAGATCATGTAGCTTTTGTAATTATCCACCAATTTCTTAGAATTAAACACTATCTACAGATTTGCATCAAAGCGTTTCTTATGATAGTGATTTTAATCACTGTCAGATTAAATCTATACTGGACCCAACTATGAAACGTCCCCACTATGCCGCGACCCCACTGTGCTGGGTTTTTTTTTAGTTTATAATAAAAAAAAAATGAATTTATTACCATAACTTTTAACTTGCAAGTTTGAAATTGATATTATAAAAAAGAAAATTTTATGAGAATTAAAAAATGGTATTGTTAAGAATAAAAATGCAGTCAGGAAGTTTTATAACTGCTATTTACAATAAATTTTTTAGAAAAGCTCAATATTTTTGTTTACAATTTTATTGTAATAGAAATCATAGTAATCATTTCTAATTAACTTTTGGTGTTTAAAAAAATTCTACAATTGAATTATTCAGAACTTAATTAATTTTAATGATATACTTCAACTAAATGAACCAATCAAAAAGTTGTTAAAAAAATCTACCCGATTTAGTGTATTATAAAATTTTATTACAATAGTAAAAATCTATTGTCCAATTTTTAGAAAATAAATTGGTATATTATAGACTGATAGTAGCACACACAAATAGAGTTAAAATATAATTATTTATATTGATATACTGCTCATAAGACCTTGATATGTATTATGTTTGCTTGTTATGTATTTTTTTAATTAAAATGATTTTTTTTTATTTAGTCTATATGCGAAACTTTAATTTCATATATGAAATAGGCACAAAAATTGGTTTAGAAATGTCCCTGAAGAAAATTCTTTATAGATCAATAAATTCATTTATGAGTAACAAACAATATTTTTTTTTTGAAAAATATTGCATCAAGCCCTTTAATTTTTATACATGTTTGCCATAAATGTAATATCTACTTTATAATTTGTACGTAATAATTACAATACTAAATTATTAAAAATCAATTTCATACTATATTTAATTACTATAATAAATATTTATTCATATATAACACTTACAAATCATAAAACTTGTAATCGGGATATAAATAAGGGAATAAGAGTTTATTTTTCTCTTTGAATAATTCATTATTTTTTAAAAATTAAACATTATCTATAGATTTGCATAAAGTAATTCTTATGATAGCGACATTAATCACTGTCGTCTATTCTTGGCGCAACTATCCCACGTCAATACTGTGTATGTGTATTTTTAAAATAATGTCGCAACTGTATTTTTTTATTTCAAAATTTATTTGACATATCATTAGGTTATATTTTTGATAAAAATAATTATATATAAAAAGGATATTGTTATGTTATTTTGTAATATAATAAAAATATAGCTTATTGAAGCTATAATTGATTAAAACACTTTAATAAACTTCATTAAAATCGTTTCAAAATGACCTTAGAAAGCAGTATGTTAAAAAATTTCTTTTATAATATTATAAATTGTTAGATTTAATGAATGAAATGTAACTTGTGAAAAAATAACAATCCTCAGTTTGAATAATTGCTCTATTCGGTCGTCAGATTTAAACGCTTTAATTTAGTGATGTGAAACTTGTACAAAAAACTTATTTATTTATGATTTTAGTTTGGAACTTACTCAAAAAGATTTATATAAATTAATAATAAAAAATTGTATAAATACATATAGATATCTATTGAAATTTTTTAGCAATGGCCCTGTTATATCATTTTTAAATGAAGAATATTGTAAAAGAGAAAAAGGAAAAATATCAAGTCGCACCAATGTATTTTACCCATTAGCCAACCACTGATATGCTTCAATCCATTAAAATTCCTTTGGGATTTTTAATTTAAAATAAAATTTAACATTTAAATTCATGTCAAATAATCACAAAACTATTACACTCTAAATTTAAAAAAAAAACAAGTAAAATTTTTATTTTAAAAACAATAACTTAATGAATTACAAATAAAATAAAATAAATAATAATATATTATTATACGTAATATTTAATATCCTGTGAAAATTAGCATTAATAAATGAAAATTTTGTGTTTCTTATAGTTAGCTGCTCGTTGAGTTTGGTTTGTTTTGCTGGATTTTGTAGTCTTCATTGTTAGTTGAAACTTTTCCATACAATAAACCAATCTTTGCTTATTCGAAGGAATCTGTTCCATATTGTGAAATACTTTGAGATCTCTAGTATATTGAAGTTCTTGGGGCAGATGTGGATGACTGGAAGTAATGTGCATTAATTGTTGGTTGGTTGTATGATCCAGAAAATGGGTTTTGTCTGTGTGCATTTATGTTAGATGTTTGTCCATAAGCTCTAGAAGCAGAAATTTGTCCATAAGAACCAGTATTTGGTGCTTGGTTGTAGACTTCAGATTCTTGACTATATGGAGCTGAACTACCGTTTTGTCCATACGAACTCTGCTGTTGAGCAGCTTCTTCTGCAGCATTTTGCTCTAAAGATTGAAGGATTTCCGCTGGAATTGGAGGTGATGTCGGTAGATGATCTCCTTTTGCAACAAATCCATTTTCATCGGCAGTATATGTAATGGTAATTATTTTTCCATCTTCACCTGGATAACTATATGATCCATAAACTGATTGAATTCCTTCTGGACCACCTGGCTTTAATTGTCCGTATTCAGAGGCCGAAATACCATTACCTGTTTCATAGCTAAAATATAAATGTTTGTTAAATAATATATTAACTTATGTGACAATATAATCAATCAGTATAGCAGTTGTAACCACCTATATGAATAAGATCCATCTCCTAAATTTTGTTGACTATTCTGAGACAAAATTGGAGTGACTTCTTCTGGCCCGGCAATGTTTCCTGGCGCAAAAGCATTAAATCCATTTTCTGCAGGTTTGTATAAATCGGAGGAATCAGAAGAAGCTTTAAGCAATTCAGTATTAGAGATAGGTTTTTGGTATAAAAACGAAGATGATGAAGGTTTTTGTAAATTTCGCTGTCCAGATTGTTGGAAATGTTGAGATTGATATTGTGGAGAAGTAAATGATGGATTTAACAATGCAGCACTAGTAGACGATTTTGAGTTATAAGGAGACAAGGTGGACTGATAATTTAACTTTGAATTTTTTTTAAAAGAAGACACAACAGGCGTAGATTGCAAAGAAGAACCGCCAAATTTGTGGATTATTGCGGGTGAAACATTAGATTGGTATACAAATTGTGAGTTTTTTAAGTAAGATGGAGGTACTGCAGTAGGTTGGTAAGCCGAAATCCCTGACTGATAACCTGGTTGATAATTTGATTGAATATTTGACGGATAGCCAAATAATACTGCAGGCTGATAACCAGACTGAATACCAGATTGTTGAATAAAAACAGGTGCCGATGGAGCTAAATAAGATAGTTGATTTTGCCTGACACTAGATTTATAAGCAGATGAAGTTCCTGTAGAATATGTTGGATATGAAGACAAAGATTTTGGATATGATACACTATTTTTTTGGTATGATGCAGCTGACAAAGATGGTGTAGTTGAGGTTCCGTATCCAGAATAAGCTTTAGATTCATAGCCTTGAGTTTTAGCCACTATATAAGCGACAAATGCTATGATAATAAACTGAAAAATAAAATTATTATTTACATTAGCATAATAGTTAAGTAAATTGTTCTTTTGATTTTTAAATTTGTATTTGAATGAACATAACTATAGAATTAATATAACAGAAAAAAGTATCTTCGTCACCATTTATGTATAAATAATTTTTGTTTTCTTTATTTAAATGAATATTTATATTATTTATTAATAACCATTAATTTCTACTAATTAATTAACTACTATACATAGGAATAAGGTGGTTTTAGGTAATTTAATAGTTTTTTAAAACGGCTATATCTCATTTCTGCCTTCCTTAAAATGGATTTTATATAAAATGTATATGATTTTTTTTTTAAATTTAAATGGACTAAGCCTTCCCTCCCAGTTATTCATCTACAACAATGCTATAGCTTAACCATATAATTTTAAAATTGTTTATACATTAAAAAAAATGTTTTATTTAATTTAATTGTTTTAAAAATTAAAATGCTAGATGGCTAAACAACTAACTAGACTTGTTTTGTAACATTAGGTATGTTTTATTTTGTACGTAAACAATTAATGAAGCTCACGAAATATTTTGTAAGATATTCATACTTTTTTTACTGATTTCGCATTTACATTTTATCAGATTTATTATTTTTATCCCACTGAATGTTTACAGTTATAATAAATTATTGAAAAAACTACTAACTTTTAAGTCACTTGGAACTGTTATTTTTCAATACTCAATATAATTTTTTATATCTCTTAAATATTTAAAGATATGCAAGAAATTGGTTGGTTTTTGATATCTTAAATAATATTAATGTTTAAGTTTATTCCTTAAAATTTGAGAATAGGCAACATATTATTTCAATGAATTTCACAAACAGTTCAAACTCGCCATAAAGTTTAATAAAGTGCTGGGCCAACCTAGTAATGAAAAAGAACTTGAAAATAAAAAACATTTAAATTCTTTTTCCAAAAATAATACTTAGAATCTCTTTCTGTTTACTACGCAACAAAAAATACTGTGTCAAAACAATACAATAGAATTGAGTTACATTATATTTATTTATTTTTTAATGTATCATATGATAGTATATCGTCATTTATAGTGCAACAAAGCGAATCTTAGTTTTAAAACATTATAACGATGATCAAAAACAAAATTGAATTGTATCTTTAAATACAATAGGTTATTATTATTTTTTTAATAATTCACAATAACATTACAAGCCCTCCAAAAAAAAATACATAGGAATAATGTTCAAAAACCATTATTATATCATTAATGATTGAAATTAAAATTGTTCAAATTTTAATATAAGTATTGTTGCAGTATAAGAGAAGATATATTAAATAGTGTAATAGTCACTAATATTCAGAATATTATTTTAATTGAAATAAAATATTTAACACACACAAATTGCACGAATCTTTATTCAACTATAAAAGTAAAGCATATATTAAACCTTGTATGAATAAATTTAAATATTGCTCTGGAGTGATTATTAGTCTCAATGGAATTGTACTATTTAATTTTTATAACAATATTTCCTAAAAATTAATTAAAATAAACCTCTAAATAATTTTTTACAATATCTTAAATTTACAAATATACATTTATTTTTTAAGACCATATTATTTTGCATTTTATGAGACATTGAACTCTAAAAATCATTACACCTGTATGATGGCCATGAATTTATCAACTTCTTCAAACGAGTCTAATTTGACCCCGCCTCTGCAATAGTATTTAATTTATAAAATTGTAAAAGGGCGGAGTTTTTTTATTTTTATATATATATATATATATAATTATAACTCATGAATATATTATATGACAAGCACTAAATATTATCTTCTTAAATATATGGAATGTATCAAACTTATAAATTTTGCGTAAGCTATTCTTAAGCATATTATTTATATAGCTTATTCGCAATAATCGACTTCAAAAATTGCGATAAATTTTTATAAAATTTTGAGTGTTTTAAGTTAAATATGTTTTATATTTTTTAATATTAAATTAATATTTTTACTATAATTATAATTTTAAATCATATTAGCCACAAGTTGTCAATATTCATTATGTAATATCATGTTTAAAAAATATATTTATTATTATTATAATAAATTAATAATTAATAATTTTTTCTGTGATACGAACATTTTAACGTCTCATACTTAACAGGTACTTTAATAAACAATTAAAGTAATAATCAATTGTTAAGGTGGGAAGAAATGATGCAAAGATTAAACCAAATTTTAGATTAAGCATAAGAGAGAAATCGTGAAAAATCTTTACTAATGGAATGTTTTTGAACTAATGTAATATATAATTGATTTGTATTTGTTATTCTAATATTATGAATTTCCAATGATTCAATTGGATAGTATTTTTATTTGTTTATATTACATATCACATAAATATTACATAAATTAACGAGAAAAATTTAAATATCATTATTTTTTAAAAATGATAATATTAAGATATTGTTTTCTTACAAATAATATCGTTTCATCTATTTTAAGAAGATATCTATTTTTATGTAGTTAATATTGAGGACCAGACTATTAGACCCGTTGTCCTTCAATACACAGTTCCGTAAACAAACTTAAAGCAATGTAAGATACAATTCTTATCGTTTTATTTGTCGACCTTATAGCTACTTTTAATTTTAGTTAAAATATCATCGCTTAAAATTGTATAAGTTTAGCTAACAATTTTGAATTAATTTAAAACCAGAATAAATTTTTAAAAAATATAGTATTTAGTTAATAAAAAGTCTTAAAAATGAACTTGCACCCTTTCAATTACACACAGTTTAATAAAGAACGAAACTTATACCCTTTAACTGGATAATAAAATGTCAATGGATAAAAAATTGAACTTAAAATACATAAATTTAAGAAAATGGTTTCTATAATTTAATTATCAATATTAAATCTTATTATTATAAGATCATAAATTGTATGATTTATAAAGACATTTAAGTTTAAAAAATTGTCCGTTTTGTTGTTTAAAATATGCAAACTTATAACTTACAGCCTTCATGATGGTAATATATTGGTGTGTGGGAGTTGCACTAAAATCGAGTAACTTAAAATTAACTACAACGGATATTTCTGAACTGACAATGAAACTGTACCCACGATCGTATATATACTAATACAATGATGTAGTACCTTACTGAGAATAATACAGCTGAACAGCGCGAAGGTGGTGTTAAACTATTTACTCCCTCCATCTTGTGATCTAAGTTCATAGGATTTTGATTTACAATGACTTTAGTATGACATGCTAGACACGACAAGAAATAAACTAATTAGTACGGCCGCATTCGGGTGGCAGGTGTAGGACGTCGCCGTTTACTTTTTTATCAGTTGGTAATTAATCAATAAGTTCTTACTAGTGATAAGCTAGCATATGACTCAGTTCTACATGATAAATTATGACACTCCATTATAATATCAGAATGGATATTATTAATTTTATATACATAAAACATAAATAGAGTTAAAATTTAGCAAGAGGATAGTATATACAGTGTATTCATTTTAACAAATTTATGTTTTTAGTTAATTAAAAAGCCATTGCTCGGCTTGTTTTATAAATTACAACATGATCTCTTTTTGTAAAGTAAATCATACGAAAGTCAATAAATCTAACTCATGTGATGAGCTAATGATCGGAGAATTATATATATTTTTTAATTAGTTCGTGACTATGGTATTATTGAATAGAAAATAAACATTAGTCTGTTTTTGTACGACCTTGCTATTTAATTAAAAAAATTTTAATGTGATGCCATTAAATCTATAAAAAAAATTTTTCAATTTTTAGCTTTTAATTAGTATTTTTTAATTTTGAAACTTGAAATAAATTTCTTTGTTGTATCAATTAATAAATCAATGTTCAAGCTCATAACATGATTTGTAAGTCTGCGCATTGACATAAATTTCAAAATAAAGCATGTAGTTAATTTAAAAGTAATTGTAATATTCTCATATAACATATATCCCACTTAATCATACAATCCAGTAAAAACTATGTATATACTACACAGAGGCATATTTAAAACTCATATTAGGGGGCGGCGGTAAAAAATGAAAAAAAATTTAATTTTGATCTTTTTTTTGTAAAAAAATATTTTAAATATCAACCAAAAAAACAAAAGTAGATTAAATAAGGACCATGAAATTGAATAAATTAATATTTTGTTGATAACGTAAATCGAAAACAAATAATTTATTGTTAAATACTGTCATCATCATCATCATCTTATAATCTAAGGCAATGCCTTTTCGTTGACGTCACTCCTTTTTGTTTGACGCCAAATTCTTCAATAAAATAAATTTAGCGTTTAAACACTGTAAAAATAAAAAAAGACTTCCCTCTCATTTTAGTATAAACTACCATAAATATTATTAACTCAACACTTCATTCAAAAATTACATGTAGTTAAGATGAGTATAAGCGTAATATTGGTGATCTGGTCAATTAATAAAAGTAATCATTTAATATAAGCTGTTAGCGTACCACAAATGTTAACATTGAAATAATTTTCTTAATATTAATTTATTTATTTATTCTAAAATAAGTTATTAAGATGCAATTTTTATAAATAAAAGAAAAATAATATGAGTTATTTGACGATTTGATCCTATAGCATATTCAAAAACAAAAAATAATTTATTAATAGTAGATATAATTAGAAAATTTTATATTTTTAAAATAAAAACTGTTTATATGATATTTTAAATTAATATGTCAAAAATCAAATTATATTCGATAAATATTTTGTTTTCGTTGATATACAAAATCAAAATTATAATAGACAAATAGAATCTTTTCTCCCATTTAGTACAATAATAATGATTACCTATAAAAGTGTTAATGTATCGAATGATTTTACTCAAACCGTCTTCTCCATAGAGTCACTTAAGATATTATGACATTGATTAAACTATTTTAATTAATGATTATGATTAATTTAAATAAATTTGATGAATATTCATATAGCAATCTAGAAATCATAACTTTAAATAAATCTATGACTAATGATGGTAATACCAAAAATATGATCATGAAACATGTATTTCATTGTTTGTTCAATCGACTAAAATGATCTATTAAAGTTCAGATTACTCATTTTTCCGGCACGATTTAAAAACCTATTTATTATCAAATTAAAATCAATAATATGATACAGTGAAATAGAATATTATCAAGCTATTATAATATATACATAATACATTACTTAAGATAAAGATAATGCTATGATATTAGATAATAGTATTTCATTTCATAATACATTCAAAATATATTCAATATATTCTTATGAGCCACAGATATATCAAGTTAATTTTAAATAAAAATTATTTTTAAGGATAGAAGGAGTAACTTTTGAAAGTAAAAGGAAGCCTATTGTCATATTTTACTATTGAATAGAGAATAGTTTAAATAAAATGTTAACTGTTCAATAACCAGTTTTTAATAATACTTTTTGAGATATTAATTATTAAAGAGTTAGTAAAGGTGAGGAACGGTGTAATTATTAGTGATGCTCTATTTTTACCATAAAATACAGAATTCATCTACGTGGCATCCCTTATCACCTATAATTAAAAATTACATTAACTCAAAAAATAATAATACAAAACCGGTTATCGACCAGTCAAAATTTTATTAAAATCGATTCCCCATTTAATAGACAAAAATTATTTATTTATTAATTTACTCATTTAACTTTCAAAAGTTACCCCTAAAATCTAAAATATTTTTTTTCTTAAAATAAATTTCATAAAAATGAATCAAATTTTTATGAAACAATCATTATTTAATAAAAATAAGAAAGGTAGTGTATTTTATAAATCACAGTACATATAGAAACAAATTGTTACACAAACAAATAAACTAGTGTCATTATTTAAAACCACTAACCACTAACACCTTACTAACTAATTTAAAATACTTATACTTGTATTGTAAAAATGTATTGCATTAAATTATTATACAATGTATCAATTTTTAAATCATACACAATAAAATATTTGAAAGTTAAAGTTTTGTTGTAAATGAACAATTCAAGTTTAGTTGTAGCGGATATCACGGTAAACCGTGACAACATAAAAGGAAAATATGTTATTAATTCTTCGATGAATCATGATAATCATCATTTTTTTATTATTAAAATAATTTATATATCTTGCTTTTATTGAAGTAAACCTCTAAATCTATCATAAAATGAATTGTTTCTTATATTTCGAATAATCCCTGTCGTGACTTGATTTTTTCCTACAAAAATTCGATATAGATATTTACAAAAATATATATTTAATACCATAAGGCGGAATTAAACGCAAATTATTGAATGACCTTAAGTTAAGTTTATTTGCTAAAATATTTATCAAAAATCAACATTAACATGATACTTTATGAATTTTTTTTTATAAATGATACATAATAACACATATATGACTTCTGTATTATTGACTGGGAAAATATTTTTTTTTATACTTTTGTATTTACTTAAAAAACAAATTCATTCAACAAAGTCGTCTTTATTACACAAAAGAATTCCTTCCTTCAGTGTGCCTAAATATAGGAAATAAATTCTTAAATTGTCTTTAATAAATAATAACTTATATTAAAGTTAAAAAAACAATAAGGCAAATAAAATTTTAGTTAGACATAAAATAATTACTTTCAATTAAGTCAAGAAAAGTTTTCCTTGTGGAACATGGTACACAAAATGTTAAATACTTTTTTTTTGCAACGCACTCAATCCAACCGACTGAGTTTAAAGGCAATATGATTTTATTTGTTTTGGGTTATTTCAAATAATTTTCATTATAATGTATTTATTATTTCTTTCTGTCGAAATACAATAATCAATTAGATGATTTACTACTTAAAAAACAATGCACAATACATGATTTTATAAATTACTAATGTTTTATTACACATACAAGTATTGCAATTTGTCATTTTATAACAACAATTCTGAATTCTTACTAGTTATTATAAGTTTTGTGTTTATACCTATTTCATTCTACAAAAATAAAAACAGTACATAAAAGTAGTCGTGATTTTGTGAAACAGTTTTTTATATTCTATCGTCATTAGTTACACATTTACCAAGGTTAGTGTGCTAAATTTGAAAACAAATGTACCCGATAGTTAAAGGCAGATTACATTCTGTTTTATATAAAATAATTATAATATACTTATGTCGAATGAAAAGTTAACCACCCACTTAAAGAAATTAAGTTCACGTATCACTAAAAATCGAGTGCATAAAAAAATTAATACTTAAATAATAGTAAAAACTACTATTACGAAGCTGCTTCGTCGAAGGGCGAATATACAAGCAGTTTCCACTTTTTCTTACTGAGTGCTTTTGAAACGGTAAATCACGGATGCCTAAGGCATCATGAAAAATCAGCAATCGAACCATTTAATAAAATCAAACTAGTACTCGCAATATCGTTGACACACTTTGAACGCTGATACGTCTTTAAAAAAATGTTATAATATTGTATGTGCGTGATATCAGTTACTCAAAAAACAGAAAAAAGATAACGTAATTATTTTTAAGTACTTAGGACTGGTTTTTGAGTAACTGGGATGCGCACAAACTCTTGACCATACTTTGATGTATTATATATATACCTATAACATTGCATCCAGAGATAATATGAAGGTCAGACTTGAAAAAAATCGCACTAATATAGTACTAAAAATAATACGGAAAAGTAGTGCCAAATGATAACCAGGGCGATAATATCTATTCGAAGGTTTCTGTTGTCAACATCGTTAAAGCCTTATGAGTCATTTTAACCAGTAAAATATCGCCTACAAAACGTTTCTATAATTACTAAACGGATAATGTAATTATAATGCGCATCCATAATATTATATAAGCATTGTCATATTAAATAGAGACACACCTTCGATATATCTTATAAAATCACCTACTCATAATGTACACAAACAATTTTTTCGATCGAATATTTTTTAGTAATTTGTCATTATTGTAATAGTGACGAAAGGATAACTTTGTATACACAGAACAAAATGTACAAAATTTTAAGCAACTAAACATTTGTTGATTTTTATTATAAGTTAATAATCTTAACGACAAATTATTATGGTTGAAACCGTATAAATTAATAATTATCATAACAGGCTTGTATGAATAAATTATACTGAAGACTTATAAATAAGTAAATAATCAAAATACATTTTAGTGTCTCGTGAAACATTAATATCGTGGCGGTTCAAGTGTTCTGGGTACAACAGGATATGGTAAAAAACGTCCTTGATTAGGTTGCAAAAGCCACAATAATTGTGGTTCTACATTAATCTGGCCCACAAAACTATTTGATCTTGGTTGATTATATAAAACTGACCGTTGTACACCAACTAAATTAGGTGAAACTTTGCTACTTTGCTGTTGGTCCACTATTGAAGAAACCCTTTGAAGCACCGGGACAAGATTTGGCTGCGCTACAACTCCTTGAATTGATGAAGGACGAAGTACTGGAACAACAGATGTAAGCTGAGATTGTTCAGGTACTACATTTGGTTTGTTAACAATGATTGGTTGAACAGATCTCAATGAATCCAACTTTTGATCAGATTGAGACTTTATAACATCTTGAACTACAGCTGGAGTTAATGGATTAACAGGTTCTGTTAACACTGCTTGAGGTTGTTCAACATTAAAATGTTGAGAAGATCTATATGGTTCAAATTTTTTATTAATTTCAGACTTAACAGCATCTTGAACTACTTCTTGAGATAATGGGCTAACAGGTCCTTTTAGCACGACCTGTTGTTGCCCGACAATATAAGTTTGAGAAGTTCCAAACGGTTCAACTTTTTGGTCGCTAACTACATCTTGTAGTACAACCTGAGTTTGTTGTTTTTTTGACAATTCTGTTTCCACTTCACTGTAGCCTTTAGGTTGCAGAACAGGTACTTCTTGAACTAACTGATATCTATTGGACTTTTCGCGCAAACCAATATCATCAGCGCTCACAGTAGGATAAAATTCTTTAGTAATTTTTGTAGATGATACGTCAATAGGTTTTTGTTGTTCTACACTTGAACGGTCATCTAATATCACTTGTTGTTGATACTCCGGTTCTGTCTCACGAACTTGCTCTGGTTTTACTACTTCGCGGCGATCTTCTGTTACAACAAATGTGTTTTGTTGTTGTCCTACATTATTTACTTTTTCGAGCTCTTGTTGTTTTTCTAAAGTAACTGGATGACTCACTGGAACAGAATCAATTGACCGAAGTTGCGTCCTAGAAAATAAAGCAGATGGAGCATTTCCTTTGAGTGATAAACTCTTGTCAAGAGCGGCAGACGCTGAAGGTGTAGGTAGATGTGTACCATAAGCTCTAAAACCATCAACTCCGGCCGTGTAAGTTACTTCTACAGGAGTGCCATCTGGGGATGTATATCTGTAAGAGCCAACGACTGAATTTGCTTGATTTTTTGTTCCTTTATTTAAAATTTCTCCACGTTCCTCAGCATAAATTCCGTTCGCAGTTTCGTACCTATAATGTTAAATAATCAATAAGTAAAAAAAAGCAATAACTAATTTAAAAATTATAAAATATTAATACAAATAAATATAAGACAGTATAATTATAATTTTTGATTTTAAACGAATTAAAATACGTATGACTTATAAATCATAATAAAAAGTAGAAAGAAATCATTAATAAAAAAAAACTAATCATATTTGAGTTCCTAAAATTTAATTGAATTTAAATAATACTAGTTTGATTTCAAAGATAAACAATCGAGGAAGGTCATTGAAATAATAAAATTGAAATATTGAGCGGAATAAAAAGGATATTCAATTAGTGTGCAATACTAAATATTTTTTAGTGTTGAGGAAAAATTAAGAATTACATTTTTATTATAGAAACTATAATTATTTTACAACGACTTCTGGCATTAAACTATTAAATTATCACATACATAAAATGACATAATACAAGCAACTTACACTTATTAATTCAATTATTCAACTCTAAAGTTTAATATTAATAAAAGTAATAAAAATGTGATTTACAATGTATATTTATTGGTTTATACAATAATTGTCTTTTAGTTAAAAATTAATTTTTATGCAAATTTCAATGATTTAATTTATTATAAATATCAAAAAAAGAGAGGTTTTTCTTAAGGTATATTTCTGATATAATATTTCTTCTATAGGCCAAAATAATTTAGTATTATATTAAAATAAGGTTTAAAAAACTGAAAACAGTTTAGTCACTTAATGTTATGCATATTAAAAAACAGTCTGACGAAAATTAATTTTTCTCTTTAAAAAAATTCGAAGGTGTAAAGATATTAATAAAAAGTTTCTACAAATTAAAAAATTCTATATCATATACTTATTGAAAATAGCTGTAATTTTTACTTTTAATTTATTGATTAAAGAAAGTAGCTTTAAAATACACTTAAATTACTAAAAATATTGTAACCTATTTATCTATGGTGCGTACCTGTAATTGTAATCGCCATCCAACGAGTTTTCTCTAGAATATAAATATATAGGTATATATTCTATTTTTACAGCATCATTTCTTTTTTGAATTGTGTCTTTTGTATCTATTGATGATTTAACAATCGTTTGAGGTTTTGTTTTCGCTGATTGAGCTGTTATGCACGTGACAAATAATCCCAAAATGACAAACTTCTATTTTAATAGATTAAAAATAAAATTTATTTAAATTTAAACACTTTAATCTAGTACAAAAGAAATCTCACGAAAGTATTTAATTCAAAAATTAAATATTTTTAAAATTCCTTTCAAAACTTTGTAATTTTTGTTCAAATAAACAATCTTAAAAACTATTCCGTATATTTTGAAAAATTAGCCATGTAATTTTTCTATAAACAAATTTTAAATTTAGATTTTTTTAATTTATTGTACGAAATTATCAAAAACCACATTCTATAAATAAAATAATTGTTTTTATTTATCAAGAAATGTATAAACTTAAATAATTGAAAATTTTTCATAGTGCAATTATTTATTATTTAATACTTACTAGAAGTCCCATGGTTTGGTTTTACAGAAACTGTTTTAAAGACTATCGGAGAAAGATTATTGTTTTCACTTTCTTCCCAGGCCTATTTATATGAGTGCTCACGGCCAAGGCTAATGTCCAGCAAGTTCATGTAACATCTGAATGCAGAGAATTGGTTGGATAAAAAACCACTTCCTTTAATAAGCATAGAATGAACAAAATGCACCAGGTTGGTAGATACAAGTAGGAAATAGTTGATATTATGCAATCTGTGAAACGACCACCGAGGCAGCATCAACCTACCCGATGTGGAGGTTAATGACTTGCGTTTTGTTTATTGATCCACTACGATGGCAAGATATCTTGTATCTTTATTCGAAAGATTCTATGGAAAACTTGTAATTGATGATTTTGTAGGATGGGCATACTTTAGTTAAGCAACTGGTTTAAATTCAGTTTGAGTAGAAGCTATGATGTTAAAAATACAATTTTTAACAAAACAAATTATTTATTGGTAACTGTTATAACAGTTGGACTTGTCCGACACTAGAATAACATTTTATAAACGTTTATCAATGTATGTTTTTCTTGATGCTCACGACCATGTAGGTACGATCATCTATTATTATTATTATTCCTTACACAACATGATATCGTTACTTCTTGCAGAATGTCAAAGCATATACTGGGAGTTTTATTTCCTACAAGAAGACAATATCATTGTGAATACTAACCAGAAAGATTACACAGTTCAAGAAACACCGTTAATGTTTCAGTAGTATTTTTCACTAGATCTAAATTATAATTTATCTGCTTTTGTTTTTTTATTAAAAATTTAAATCATATACTTTTATTATATATTATTATTATATATTATTGTACTTCAGAGATTTAAAAAAATTTATATATATATATATAACAATCAGGGTTGTTAAAAAATATTTGTTTAAACATAGATTAATAATTTTAAATATTTAAAACGTCCCATAAGACCAATGTAAATTTTGACATTTTGGTGTTTTAAACAAATAGTGTTTAAAACGTAGCAACCCTGATATATATACTTACATTTAAAAAAATATACTATTATTAAACTTATCAACTTTATTTTTAATAACAATTATATTTATCAATTTATTACTACTATTGCATAATTCTATAATATTTACAATGAAAACATTTAAAAATAAACTACGTATGTTAAAAACGTAAAAAATAAGTTAAGTATAATTATAATAATACATTAATACATTAATAGGATTAATATATTATTAACTATGTAACGTTTATATTCAATACTTACTTTGTCTAATGATCTTATTTATGTACTGCACACACTCAAATATACTCAAATAAAGTATCAATCATAATTTAACTGAAAATTTAAGTAAAGTTACGTACAATAATAATACAGAATATATTCAATAAAACATTTCTAGCAGATGTGAACTCATATTATTGATAAATTTTAAGCATTTGAATTATTTGCACGTTTATAGTCATCTTTAACAAATAATAATTATCAATTATAACTGATTTCAATGACTTATAGTATAAATCAAAATCTTGTTATCATTTAAAAGTACTAAAGAAGAGAAGAAAAACTTAAAAAGTATTAGATGCATTTCTAACGTGTAAATATCTAAAGAAAATTGTACAATTCCAAATGCTACATAATACATCAAGTAAAAAAACCAACTAATAGGAATACAAAAATAAATAATGTTATATCAACAGAACCAACATTTCTGATATTTGAGAGACACAGATAAATTAAATGTATCTAATCGATTTAGTACGCCTAAAATATTTCACTTACTCATTTTGGTTGACGCATAGCACACAATTTTTATAACCGTTTTATTTATTCTATAAGTGATTCTAAGAGTAAATTATACACTTATTATTACTTACTAAGAATATTATTATAATTAATAAACTCAAATATTGTCTATGTCCTTGAGTCTACTTTACTTTTTTCTATCCTTAAAACTATCTAAGAAATAATAATGGTCGGTGCGATCACATATTTTGAAAAAAAAAAGGTTTATTTTTTAAGTGATGCCTTAAACATTCAAGTGTTTAGACAGCCCACGTACATCGCGTTTCAAAATGATGTAACGGGGCCAGTGGCTAAAATGTGAACATACGAGTGAATACTTTAACAACAGTACGTCCATCGCCACGTGTCTCATAGTGAACTCAAACCAACTACTGTAAATTGAAATTATTTTAAAATAATTTGAACGTTTCTCACTATTCACACTTTCAAGGCAGTTTTAAAATAAGTTAAATTGTGTAGTGATTTGAAAAACATAATACCATTCATAACATTTTCACAAGACCGGATTTTGGAATATGAAGCCCCAGGACCAACACATGTTTATCATAATAGGGGAAAAAACAACATGATATATTTTTCATTTAGTACTATATCTATTTTTCAAACATAAGTCTCATTAAAAATGTACAGTAGTATAGTTTGTTTGTATGAATTTCTAATCAAAAAATAAGAATATTTTTACAATATAATCATATTCCTTATTTAAAGGACGTATATTAAAATATTAATGTCAATTAGTTCAGCTCAATAATTTTTAATACTTTATTACTTAAATAAGGTGCCCTGAAAATATGTCCCATAAATCCTTCCCTATTACCGACACTGCTTACAGAAATTAAAATTTTTAATTGAAGTTCTTGAAAAATATTATAAAAATGTACTTTTGTACGCTAGACCATTTATATACACTTATGTACCATGTGGTTAATATAATTATGTACTTTTGCTTACGTGTATAAAGTTAGTCACGTCCATAAAACATACGTGATACTAATAAAAATCTAATGATATAATCCAAATACTAAAGAAAGAATTTCGTATTTAAATAAAAAACAAATACATTATATTAACTGAAAAATTTTATCAATAGTAAAAACAAAGTAATATAAAAGTGTATTATAATAATTTTACTCAATTACGTATTCGAAAATCTCTTTTAAACTTGAGGTTATTGATTTCAAATAAATAAAAAGTAACAACTAACACTATCGTGCTAACTGTCAATGGCACTCTTGGGTAATCATATATTTGGCACCTCTATTTAAAATATTTTTAAACAAAATGCACCTTATGCAAAAAAAATATTTTATAGCACTCTAGGGCGCTTGCCCTCGTATACCTTTCCCTTTACATGACCCTGGATGAGTGATCAACTATGCCTCACGTATATTTAATCAATCGCAGTGTGTGTCATACAATATTGTCAACATGAATTTGACACCAATGTTAGATAAACCAGCCCTGAATTGAGGAAATTCGAGTCGCCAATATTGTATTTTGTTCATAAGCTGGTAAAAATCGGTACAACAATAAAATGGATTTATCAACTAAAAATATTTTTAATTAGTAACTTAAAATTGGACATTTTTTTCCAAAAACAAACTATTTTAATGGGTTATATTTTTCTGATTAAAAACAGACAGCTCAAACCATTCGAAATTTTTTCAATGGTTCTAATTGCTGAATAATTCAAGGAATTACGGACACTTTTTTTAAATCATAGTTTTTTCAGAAAATAAATCCTGTATGTGCCACAATACTTCATTAATATTTCTTTGAAAACTTCTTCGACTTTCAATATATTAATAGTTTGATTAAATCAAATCAGATTTTATCCGAATACCTATTATTATAAAAATATAACCTTCCTGGCTTGAATTTGTATAAATTAGAGAAATATTTCTTTCTACTAATATATTCTATTGATAAAAAATTTGTATAAACCGTTTAAAAATTCTCATCTTCGAATCGAAGCTAATGTTATATATCTAATCTTGATATATATTCATACTTCGTCTTATCTTGTTATACAGTATTCGACGTTATAATTGACCATCTGGGACTAAAGCTACATCTTCGTCATGTTTTCATCTTACATCGAATGTCTCCCATAAAATCATAATGGTTTTGCTAGACCCAATGGAATATTTAAAGAGGACACAAGGGTACATGCCCCCATTGACTGAGTCATGCTAATGTTTTATCAAACAATGTAATAATGTATAACGAGTTAGTGATCAACAAATTTCACTATTTTTTGGTTATCGATAATAACATGTGTTTATCAAATTTTGGTTGATATATTTGTCTTGTGGAACGATGAGATTTTTAAAAATTTTGAATTTTATTTGTTATTTATGTTTTATAATATTTATTTTATTTTGTTTATGAATATTTTCTTGCTTTTATAAATTTTGTTTTGTTAAAAAAAAAAACTTTACAATGCGTGTTTCGAGTATACACAATGTGATTCTTTTAACGCTAACCAATCGATTTCTCTTAAAATAATAATTGAATAGCCTTGAATAAAATTTGTTAAAAAAACCTTTTTAATAAAAAAATCACAGTTGTTTACAGCTTGTACCAGGTATATTTATAACGCATACTCTACCCGTATTACATATCCATTCTATGGATTAAAATACTTATAGCTCAATAAGTACTTATTCTATAGTTGTTATCAATCCATCAAATTTGTTTGTAAGAAAACCTCTATTTTATTCCAAATTATTTATTTATAAAACTTTTAATGTTCCTTAAGTTTTAGCTATTTATTTAAGTTATTTTTATTTCAATTTTTTTCTAGAATCAACATATTTTTATACACCAATACAATTGACTTAACCATTGAACGTTATTTTATACATTATGTGGCGCACTCTATGTATGATCCCTCCTTAATTTTTAATCACAATTGTGATGTGACTTGAGCGTCATGTGTCTCAATTTATTTTAATAACATGTATTTTTATATCTTATCATTACTTAAAATAAATTATATTGATGATTAAAATGTTGGCATAAGATGTAATTAATTTGATAATTTAGAGGATTTATAATAACTTTACCTTAGTTTATATCAACAAATAATACTTTAACTAAGTGTCACTAGAAATTTTTCTGTTAATTTAAATAAAAAATATAACATGTTACTTAGTAATATTAGTTCTACTAAAATAATTTTAAATTAACCACAAATAAATAACTTGGCGCAACCACCACAACTTGGCTTCTCTTGATAATAAATATTAAGAAACATAATGAATGAGCGAATATTAATTGATTTTGTGAATATAATAATCCAAGACAATTAGTGAAGGGGAGCACAATGAGATATTTAATTTTCAAAGTGCTCTGTTTCAAACCATTTTTTAAGATATTTGATTTTTTTTTTTTGACTAATTGCAAATTATAAAAAAAATGGTTAATAGTTTCTAAATTAAAATGTTTGTAAGATTTATTTGCTATAAAAAAAAAGTTGTAAAATGTCTCATTGTAGTCCTTCAATGGCCTATAGTGGGACAAGTTGTGGTTTACAACAGGACAACAGATTAATGTTTAAAGAAATAAGTAACTGACACCATTTTAATTATTTTTGTAAAAAATAATGTTTAATTTTATAATTTTTATATAAATAAAACGTTAATAAATAAATAAAAAAGTAGTGACAGACACAAAAAAATAATATACTTAATACCTTCTCAGCTTCGCATTGAAGCTAAAATATTGCGGATGTAACGTAAATAAGCTTATCCACTAATTTAAAAAACCGATGTTTTATTGTCAATTGTAGATATTTTTTACATTTGATAGACTTTTACCGTATACAAGATTTATTTTAGTTTAGAGGTTTGAAGGTGATGCATTTATTAACTTATCATTCGTATAACTTGTGTCTCAACGTACTGCGTATGGTGTTATTAAATTAAGACTTTTAACAAAAAAAAATATACTTAATAATTGAATAAATAATGAGTGTAGCATACTAAAGTATGTATTTATCCCTAGAATGGTAATGTAGGTAAATTTTACGTACATGATTTATTCAATATTTGATAACACAGTATTTATAGTTCATAAGAACTTGAAATTCCTGATATGCTATCTCTTATAAGTTGACAACAATATATTTTAATCATTTTTTTCATATCTATCATTTCATTTCGTACACAACCTTATCACCGAAAACACTACACGTAAGTTTTACGTATAGTTACTGTAAAACTTAAAAATATATACGTAAAATAATCGTAGAGTTACTGATACACGTGACATTTTATCCTGTATTTTTATTTTATTTTATTATCATTTCATTTTAATTTTCATATTATTTTAATTTTCGTGCATCGAGTTTTATTTGATAATATAACATGGAGTGAGATGATATTATTCGTTTGCTAAATGAATTGACAGACAACGAAAGCGGAGAAGAAAGTGGTTTAGAGAATGAGTATTTAAAGGACGAGGAGGATATAGATAACAGTGATATGGAACAGTGAGTGTATTAGATGATCAATTGAATGATGAAATTAGAAATATAGAAATGATGCCTATAGAATCACGAAAAAGAAAAATTGTACAGTCTTCTTTTAACATTAAAACAAATAAAAAAGAAAAAACAAATAGTAAATTTGATAGTGTAAATACTGATAATGATTATATCATTCAAATTCCAAATAAATCAGAAATCGAGGGTAAAAATGTTTTTTTATGGAAAACTCAGAGTACTAAGTACAGTGGAAAAGTATAAAAAAAAATAAAAGGGAGTTTCCATACGAGTTCACAGATGTTAAATTTCAAAAAAAAAAACCACAGTCGTCTCATTTTTTCTTTTTCACGAAAATATGACTGTTGTATCTTACAAGCCTAATAAAAATAAACTCGTAGCTTTGATATCATCTGCTCATCAAGATTCGTCCTTAGATCAAAATACCAAAAAACCGGAAATAGTCATGAATTATAATTCCACAAAAGGCGGTGTAGACTCCTTCGATCAAATGACCCATAATATGAATTGCAATAGAAAAATAAATAGATGGCCATTATGTTTTTTTTACATGTTAAATATTGCTAACGTTAACGCTTACGTGATTTATTTGCATAACTTTTATAAAAAAAATGTAGATTACCAAAAACTACTATCAAGACTGCATTTTATGTTAGATTTGCATAAGCAATTGACAAAAGACTGGCAACGTCAAAGGTTGAAAATGCCAAACGTCAGTATAGAACTTAGGAAAAATATACAAGAGGCAATTGGTGAAATACAACAATCAAGTACAACTGATACTAGTCATAACACTCAATCAGGTCCAAGAAAATATTGCACATTCTGTAATTATAAAAAGAAAAGATTAACAACCACATACTGCATTGAATGTGAGAGACCTGTTTGTGGTGAACACCAGAAAAAAAAAAGTATTGAATGTTGAGAATACTTTATATTTTATAAAATTTCGTATTTTATGGTTTGTTTTTTTTTTTTAATTAATTTATTTTGTCATTTGTTGTGTTTAAAAAGTGATATTATAAGCAACATATTTTTTTAGTTTAAAATGTATAATTTATATAATTTAAGTATGCTTGTTTTATTTTTTATGTTTGAAAAATGAATACTATACCATAAGACTTATTTGTTTGAGTTATTATCATAAAGTTATTTTATTTTGTTTGATAAAAAATATACAAAATGAAGTTAAATTATAAATTATTTTTAAAAAAATGTTATACGTAAAATTTACATATAATTACTTATACTGTAATATAAGTAATAACATTAGTATTCTAGGGTTAAATAAAATAAAATTATCAATTATAAAACGTGACTAATATTTTAACTGCCAAAAACAAAAAAATTCACTTTTTTTGTTTAGTTTTTACTTATTAAACAATTATGATTGTAAAAACTTCCAGCGTTATAAAAATTTCATCAATAAAATATTTAAATACTGTAGTAAAAAGTATCGTTGCAATTGCTTTAATTTAAATAGGAACTTTTAAAATAATACTTTTTCTAACTCTTCTACTTGTCAAACACTTCCATTGCAATTTTAATAAATAAAAGCTGCCCTTATTCAAATTCAATAAACAGCCGAACGTAAAACACATAATAAGTAACAACTATTCTAATCTAGTTTTCACATCACGCGATTTGTTATTGTTATCTACTGTTCAAATGTATGTAAGGGACGGCGCGAACGCAGTCCCAGCTACCAAAAATTATGCGTCCGAGGTATCCACATTAGGGATACTCGCAGGGGTCAACCCAGTCGGTGTGCAATGACCGGGCCTCACCCTGGAGGAACCGCCTGATTGATCACGGTTGACCTCCACGCCAGGTAAGTATGCTAGTTGGGAGTGTTTCGCGAGTATATATGCAGAAACAATCTCGTTAACAAATGTAGTACTACCGGCAGTATTCCCTCGCTTTAAGAACATTGTTATTCGAAAAAGTATTAGTTGGCTCCAGTGCACTGTTTCAATAGATAATATTTAACGTTAAACATTTGTTATTAGAATATTTAATCAATTTAAGAGGCTAAAATGATTCTAGTAAATGTTGCGACCAAATGCATATTGAAATTATACGCCATCTACTGGGACGCAAACGCAACGCAATTGAACATGTATGATTGCTTTCATTTCGTTACTGAAATGAGTCACTTTTGCTTAGTGTTTATCTTCTTTGGGCAATCATTACCTAAGTAAATAATTCAAAATAGGATTGTATAACTACATATTAAAATAAAACAATGAATAGAAAATGTTTTTTCCCTTACGAAAATAGAAAATGTATTATTAATTTCATAAAATACAATAGCAACGTGCAGCTATCTAGTGGCAGTTTTTAATAAAATAAAATGATATGATGTCGATTACACATAAAATGTTTAATATGAAAATAAGTCATTATACTTTTTACATTATTACTGTCAATACGTCGTAATACTTTCAAAGTATAATTTTCAGTGATCTTTCAAATGTTTACTTTATATTTATTTACATTCATTTTGTATTTATTTAGTTTAATATTTATAACTTTAAAGTTTTAAGTTTTATAATTTGTATTATTTCTGTACTGTCTGCCTTAATGAGCGTAATCATCATTTTGAATGATGAAATAAATAATAAATAATATTACTTATAATTTTACCAGATATTTATTTATACTAAACAATTTAATATTTACGTAAAAAATATTATTAAATTCAATAAAATAATTAATTATGAAAAGAAGATAAGAGAAATAATATATAATTATTATAATCACTATTACTTCAACAAGAAATTTTAATAACCTACATAACCATACGATACTAACTAAATACAGAAATATTAACTTGGATTGAAAAAAAATATTTAAAACGTCAAACAAAAACTTGTTATTTTCCACTTTACATGGATTTTTGTTTAATCTGTAATTAGGAATTTATGAAAAATTAGTAAAATTCCATTAACACATAGATCATATGATATTGAATACAACCGAAATGAATTGAAAAACTTTATAAAAATAAAATTCGATATAAGAGTAGCAGAACTATTCACAAAATACTAGATTTGTAATTTTTTTAAAACATCTATTAACTAATCTTTTAACTTCGATTTGAAATAAAATACATAGATAATTTATATTTAAATATCAACAAAACACAAATACCAAAAATGAATCATTAGCGACATCTGTTATTGTTGAACATTGAACGTCGACTAGCTAAAAACTTTTGATAGATAGCAGTTAATTGAATCATGGACTTTAACAATTCCATGTAAAATGTTACATATTTTAATTAATCGTCATATTATAAACATAAAAAGTGCAATTTCGTGAGTTTTTACGTATAAAATAGTAAAAAACAATTCTACGCTTTTTAAAATTAAGATATTAAAAATAACAACCCAAAGAAAATGGTGAACACTTCGACCCTGGTTAAGTGGAAAGCAATAGTGATAAGTACGTGGTGGATACGGACGCGCGGCATACTTACTTGGCGTCGAGGTTAACCGTGATCAACGAGGCGGTTCCTCCAGGACGAGACTGGCCCATTGCACTCCGGGCTGGTTGACCCCTGCGAGTATTCCTAATGCGAATACCTCGGACGCGTAATTTTTGGTAGCGGGGATCGCGTTCGCGCGTCCCACCTAACGGATTAAACATATAGGCTAATGGCAATCAATCTTGAATCGCCGTTAGATTGTTCGTTTAAACCTACTCTAAGCATACGGCAAAAGTTGTTTCGGTATAATTCCAGAAATATCTCCAAGTAAAGCTCTATAGTATGAATGAATCAATCCATTAAAAATATCTTATGATATTTAATTTGATAGACACGATAATTGTGTTAAAATTATTTTAACATTATGTGGCGGCGGCAGTGGAATCAGTTATCATAAGGATAGAGCAATGGTAATGTCATATCCAAAGTATTGGAATATATGTAAAAGCGGCTCAGTTAATGTAAATTTATCAGACTTGAATATTAGGAGGGATCACCCCCAGATGCGGTCTGTGAGAAATTTCCTACATTTATATATATATATTATAGCTTTAACTAAAATTTAAATACGAATTGTTGTTACACAGAATACCGCCGAACTCAACAAAACAAAGATGAAAAATGGGACCATAATAAATGCTTTTTCATAAAAGTAATTTGTACTAATTAACTATTTTTTGATATTATTTATATGCAATACATTAGTATTCTAAAATTATTTAAATTTGTTTATTTTACTACATGTATCCTTCGAAGTTACAAAAATTGTCTCATAAATGTAAATTATGTTTTTAATATAATTGAAAATTTTAATTAAATTAACAAAACATATAAAAATCCTATCAACTGAAAATATATAAGATATCATGCATTACTGTAAAGTAATATGATTTCATTTCACTTGAAATCAACATACTTTCTTTTAATAAATATTTATTATTAAACTCACAAGAATTAATGTATGTCAATATTTTGAGTAACAACTAGTGTTAAAATACAACATTATACACTGAAAACTTAAAAACTGTTACTTATTAAATCATTATAATAAAATTCAATCTACTAGACAATAATGAATGTAAATATATCAAAAGTGATTACATGCAACAAAAAGATTAGGAATTGATATCAGTGTACATGATAATTTGAAGATTCATTAAAATATTTTTTTGTTTAAGGTAATATAAATTATAAATAATAAATTTAAAAATATTATAATTTATCTAGGTATGATCCACTGAAATATCACGTTTTTTTTTAATATTAAGTGCAGTAAAATTTTTACTACTATAATTCTATAACCTCATACATTAATTTTATTAAATAATTAATTAAATTAATTTTATTAAAAAGTGTCGTAATTTATTTTTGAGCTACACAAATTTGTTACAAAAGTAAATGCTTTAATTAATACAATATTTATGGATTTTTAATGTAATATAAAATAAAATATATTTTTTATATAAGAAAAAATTACAATATATAATTTGAAATAATTTTCTCTTAAATATAAATTAAAGAAATAACACAATTATGGTAAATGATTTTCAAGAACTGCTATCCATGAATTGTACTTCTGACATGAGGAAAAGTGTTTCTGGAAGTGGTTTTGGCTGAGGAGAAAGCAGAGTTACTACTTGTCGTGTTGTATCAACATTTGTCCTGTTTAAATTTGATGAAATAAAAAAGTGTTTTAATTTAACTTGGCTGGTTTTATAAAAATTGAATAGTATTTAATAAAACTACTCACACACACACAAATCCTGCAACACTAGTTCTGACAACATCTTCATCAATTGAGGTAGTAAAACTTAATGCTAAAATATGATGCACCAAATTTGGGCCTAAAAAATAAAAAAAAATACAACAAAAATGAGTCTTAAATTTATGGCTATAAATCAATTAATTAATTTTTAATATTTTGTTAGTTATTTTTATTATTTAAATAGTATTTTCATATAAAATTCAATGATATAGCCAGGATTTTTACTTTGAGGGGATTAAAAACTTTTTTTTGGCTTATCACACACTTCACTTGTACCAAAGTGATATTTTTTTAATAGTAACAATTGGCCAATGGTACAGGGCTACAAGTTCTTTAGCTTCCCCCTTAGTTAAAACATTGGTTACATTAATAAAAAATGTTCACATTCGGCAAATATTATTTTAAATTTACTTTTAGTATTAATTAATAATAAAAATTATATTAAAAAATTTAGTTACCTAAAGTGACAGGTTCAAGTTTTGTTTCAAAATCAGTCTTTTGCATATCTAATGGCATCAGTGTATTTGGTATAGGTGGAGAACCAATTTTATAAACCTTCATTTCTGAAAATTTTACCTCACAAGTATGTGGGTGTAATACATTTCTAGGTGTACCATAAAAATATTCACGGATACGCATTTCTCTTGCTTCAGATCTAAACTTGGAACTTCTTTCAACTACCTAAGGCAATATTTTTTTATTATTAAACTTGAATACTTGTATTTTAAAAGGTTATTTATGTAATTGTATATACTAACTAGGGCAGTCAAAAATTTTCACTTTTTTTAATTGCTATAGTATCACCCTATGAGTGTAAGAACACTATATATAAAAAAAAAATTATTAAATGTTTGAAACCTTATAAATTAATTAATACTTAACTAAATTTTTATCAAATGATATTTAATTTATTTGCTTTTGATGTAAATTATTTTGATGTTATTTAAATTATTCTCATTAAAATATTTGTGACACAAAAGGTAAAAATAAAAAAAAAGGATTTTTATCTAAACTTTAAGCTTACATTTTTTTTCATATCAAGTTTCTAGTGTTTTTATATCCATAGGGAGTCACTATAGCAATACAACCAAAAATTAAAATTCTAGATCACCCTAAAATATAATCATCTACTAAATGAATATTAAATGAATGTGTTAAAGCTTTCATGGATTGTCTTGTTGCTTGAAGTGCTTAAGGATTTATCCATGTTTGTATACAAACATGCACTTAAGCACTTCAAGCAAAAATATAAAATGATTATCTTACAAATTCATTTTAAATAATAGATAACTAATTAAAATTAATTTTATAATTTCACTTAATTTGTGATATTTAGAACTATAATGATTGAGTATTAATATTAAAACTCTTTTTTTATTTTTTAATAAAAAAAATGTTAATCAAAGTACGGTATAAAAAATATGAGCTTATAAAAATAAATACACTCTCCTGTAATATCATGAAATGTGACATAAAACCTTTTAGTTTTGATACCGCAATATATATTTATAAAAAAAGTAAGTAGTATTTTACTAAATTGTTAAGTTTGACATAATTTAGTCATTAAAAATATACTTACTCCACCACTTTTAGGTAAAAGTACAACTTTTACAAATTCTGGCATATCTCTCACTAATTCATTGTACAAACGCTCCTGGTCCAATACAAGAATAATATCAACCTCAAAAGCAAGAGCTATATGTGTCAAATGCTGGTAACCTTTTCCTTTAACCCAACCACATGTGTTGATAATTATTCCTGAACTATTAACTATAAACAGTATATTAATACTACATAACAAAAACAAATATTTGATAAATACACATTCTTTTTAATTGATAAGAAACTACAAAATGCTATGGAAATATAACAAATAAATTTAAATAAGTTTTTGAAGAAAAATTTTTTAATCTATACTATATAATTTATAATCATTTGGTCATTTTTCAAAAAAAAACTATTAACAATAAGCATTGAGTATATATAACAAAACTAAGTATATCAGTGTTGGGAGGTTGATAAGAGAGTAGAACAGAAAATGAATGTATAGCAGTGATGAGAATGCTTAGATGGATGATTGGAATGACAAGAGAAAATGAGATAAAAACTGAATATGTAAGAATAAGCATAAATTTAGTCATATTATGAGGACAGAGCAATTGGAAGCTTCAAGAATGATTATGAAAATAAACGTTGAAGGAGGAAGAGGAAGAAGAAGATCAAAAAGAGGTGTTAGGAAGTAATCAGGGATGATATGAGGAATACTGGTGTGTGTATAAATTATGTGGGAGATTATGTCAAGTGGAAGTTTAGGATAAGGGTGGCTGACCCTAAATATTTGGAATAAAAACAAAATAAAAGAAGATACTTGTCAAAAATAATGACAAAATTTAAATGTTACATTTTTTTCAATTATTTTAAAAACTTTTTATAGAGTACGAATATTTTTAAAAATGTATTATTTTATTAGTTATGTTATATATGTTTTTATTAGTTATCAAGAAAATAGTAAATTATTTTTCAATTTATATTTTGTTTTAATAGTCATTTTAGAAAATTTCAATTCATAAATTTAAAAAGATATAATTCAATATGAAACTAACTAACCAACTAAAATAATAATTAAAAAAAAAAAATGTACTTCTGGGATTGTCCGCCATTCGCTCATGAATAACTTCTGCCATACGAGATACTAAAGTGTTGTATAAAGTAGAATTACTATTAACATTAGCATGACCATAATGATATACTAATGGTGCAGCTTGGGAAAAGTTCTCTTCTACTTCAGCTGGTCTTTCAACCATAATTGCACCTAAACATAATATAAATTAACTTTTTATTAATTTAATACTACATTGATTGCATACCAATTGTTCCAGGTACTGAAATTTGTCCTTGACCCGGATCTAAGTCTACATAAATAGGTTTACGACCAAGAGCATTCATTCTTGCTGTATAATTTAGCAATATTCTGCATAATGTAGATTTACCAACATCTGTTGGACCAACTACCATAGTAACTGGACCACGATTTTTCTCTTGTTCAGATTTTTGTCTTAATTGCTCCAATGACGCATGACAATTCAAATAAAACATCTATAAAAAATATTTTATTATCTTACACTATAACAAACATTTTATAACGTAATCTATATTATATATTGACATTCAACAAAATTTTTATCATTAAAAATATTATCAGCTATGTGGCAAAACCTTGTGAGTCATACTTTACAGGACAAGCCAAAACTTATTAATTTTGCATTAGTTACTGTAGAAACAAAGTTAAAGTTTTGAGCATTAGCATAATTTACAATGAAATTTTTCTTTTGAAACATTAACATGTATGAAAAAACAACTTAAAAAATATTTTACATTGAATAAATAGTCCATTTATATGACAAAGTTTTACCACAAAGCTAACAATATTTGTGCCTTTAAAAATTATAATTTTTTGTTTTTGAACTGTACATATTTTAATAATTAAAAAATTATCAGAAATAACATACCATAGGAGTTTCCTTAGAAATATAGCTAATTCCTTTTTTTCCAGATAATTTTAATGTACATCCTTGCCATGTGAATATAGCAATTTTAGCTCCAAAATGAAATGTATAGGATTTACCTTTTACTAATTCAGTACCAAATATTTCTGCTAGTCCAGTTTTTAGCTAATCGTAAATTAAAATATTTTATAATATTAACAGACAGATACAATTGAATTTATAGATATTTTATACAAAATTTTATTCAACATATTGGCATAAATTAAATATATAATTAAGGGGAATTAAAAAGATATTCAATTTTTAAAATAGCTTCATAAAAATGTTGCTCCCTTTGTTCTAACCATTTGAATAGACTACGTGTAAAGGGGATGAGTATTTCTTATTTATATATTAATTTTAAAAAAAAATTTTTATCAGAAACTATAATAACAACGTTATGTCCATGTAGCTATTGGTTATCGAATAATTATCAATTAAAGTTATGTATAAAGCATATATTCTTATTCAAGAGATAAGTTTTTTTTATTTCCTTAAAAGTAACTTTTTATTATTTGTCACCCTTTACATAAACTCTGTCAATTTATGGACTTAGATTACCAAAAAATAATGTAAAAACACCATCTAGTAAGATTTAGGATTCTAGAAGAATTAGGTCCCCTTTCATTTTATTTAAGGAAACTTAGTACCCTAAAGCCTATTAATTTCTGATTATGTAGTTCAACAAATTAATGAAATATCATAAAGATCAACAAATACATAAATAAAAATGTTTATGTAAGTATCTAAGAATAGGCAATTTTTAGCTTAACTAAATGTAAATCAATTTCAACAAATCAATGCTTTACTCAAAAATTACTACATTTTTCATAGATAAAATGCTTGATTGATTAAAATAAATTATAAATTCATTACTTCTAAAACAACAGTTTCATTTTTATTTTCAACTTCAAATCGTAGTTCATTATCAGGTTCCAATTTGAACTCTTGTTCATCATTTGAGTCCTCAACGTTTTCAGTCATATTTAACGTTAATAAGATGAAAAATGAATAATAAGAATATAATTTTATTAAGAGATTTACTTTCTATCAATATTACCTTACTGTTAATTAGAAAAGTAAATCGTGATAAAGCCAAGAAAACTACTTACTATCTCTGAAGAAAACTCACACAGGTTATCAGCATTAAAAATGATAATGCTACTACAGTTGCTACCATTCACAATGTAGAGAATATGTCTTCTCTACGTTGTAGTGGCAATTTATAAATTTATGTGATCAGTATTATAGTAGTTTGAATAAATTGTCAAAAAAATTAAATTTATATTGTAGAAGTAAAAGAATTTGATGGAATCGCTATTGAGCAATAAATTTATACAGTAGTGTTTTCGTAGTATTAACTAGTCGCAGTAATGACGTCATCCTATACCACTAAATGTGTTATTGTTATCCTATTAGGGAAATGAGGATCTTCAATCTCCGGAAGTAAACACTCCATGTAAAACTTACTAAAATATTAGTAACACGTGTTTCACAAAAAACACAAAACGTAGTAAAGTTTAAATTCAAAGTGTACTGATTACAATATAATAGTTAGAAAACATAACTTTCAGTGTAACATTATTATGCACAATGAGGCCAGAAATACAAGTACACTAAATTAATTCATAGTTGGTCAGTTTAAAAATTATGATTGATATTACCAAGAAATAATTTACATGACAAATGTATATGTGCACACATTTGTTTATACTGATTATCAAACACAAACGAACATAGGAATCATAAAATAAACGCCATTTCATATTTATCAAAAAACGACGACGGAACGATCGCACCCCCTACTAAAATTAATTAAAAGAAGAAAATGAATTATATATTCTAAATTTTTATTAAAAATGCAAATATTTAAATAGTAAAATAGTTGTAATACATTTGTTGTTTTAATCTGAATAACTGAAGTTAATTCAACTATTATAACAGTAGTGATATTGATTAAATAATATATTTACTGTTATTTAGAAATTAAATTCGAAAATAGTAACTCGATTTATTAAAAATGCTATTTTTTTATTATATTCACCATATAGAGATTATATTATAACATTAAATATTATTTCACTTGTGTAATTTAAATTATGAACCATAATTAAAATTATGTATACTAATGCTTACATAAAACAAGTATTATTTTACAACTTCACGCGTATTTTTTGTGTTTTAGTAGCTAATAATTAGCTATTAAATAATAATTTAAATTATTTAGTTATCAAAATTATAAAAATCACATTTTATGTAAATTTGTAATGATAAATAAATTGTATATTATGAATACAGTTTTTTAGTGTTTTATGTTTGAAAATTGCTTAATGTAATGCAATTATTTAAATATTTTAAAATCGTGAAAATAGTAAAATATAAGTTGCCATGTGATATCCGTATGGACACACTGATGTTTATAATCAAACATATATTAGTTATTAAATTCGTGAAGAAATATTATTTTTATATTCTATTACTGTTAACTACTATTAACTTGAAAACAATTATTTTATTACATTGATATTGTTGTTTACAATACTAAAAGAATGAAGAGAAATAGTTTTTTTGGTTGGCTGGCAAGATACTTGACGTGCTGTATTACAAAGAAAAAGAAGCGCAATGAAGGTAGTATTTTAGCTCAATCTGGCCCAAGTATTTTTTAAATTAAATTTAGCCTAAGACAATAGTCAATCCTCCATCAAATACATTCTGTATATATGGCCATTTTTAGGGGTTGCTCGGAGGGGCAATAAACTTATAGAAACGAATCTTAAAAGAAAAGAGCAAAACGTACAAAAATTGTAGGTGGGATTTATATTGTCAACATACAGTCGAATAACCAAGTGTATATATTTTATATTTTCGTAAAAGAAAATATTATTTAATTAAAAAAACATTACAATAATAATATTATTTCTTTTAAATATTCTCAATAGATTCCAAAAAAATGAGCGTCTTATTCTTAATCTATAATTATGTACTATAGTTGAGAAAATATAAAATTTGTATTTATTTATTACAAAGTAATTAATAAAAGAGAAAAATTACTTATGCCATATGAGTACTTAAGATACATACACATGGAAATAATTTCCATGTGTATGTATCTTACATGTGTACATGTGTATGTATTTTATTATTATAATAAAATGATAAATAAGAGTACTGAAGTAGTAAAAGATCATGCGATTTGTGGCATTTGCACTATCGTTAGTACCGGCAGTCTTGTTTGGCTTATCACCTTTAAAATGTATAAACCCAACCCCACAACAATGTTTTAGTGTTTTGTTGTATCTTATTATATAATAGAACAAGGAAAAAACGCTTTTCTGGAAAAATTACTTAGCGTGCTTGGATTTTCAAATTTTATTTTTCAACGAAAGTAATTGATCACCAAACTCCGGGAAATTATTGGTCGGAAAATTTCTGCCTCTCGCGTTTTAAAATTTCGACTGTTTTCGAGAAAAACGCTCGCTGATGCCAGCATTTTACGACTTAAGGTTTGAAATTTTCACCAGACCCACCCAATGACATTTCTGAGATATGATAAAAAAATTAATTCAATCCGTTTATTTTTCACCGTTTTACGAGCTTTTTTTTTTAGTCCACGCGCATGGTTTTAATATGAGAATTGACTCATTTATGCACATACATTTATTCTCAATCTTAATTTGTGTAATATTTTTATTAGGATACTATTTTGCATTTACTCATAGCTTTATATTATATATATATATATATATATATATATATATTATCAAGGAATGTTATATGTTAAATAGAAATAAGTTATATGTAAATTTCAAGATGGTTATAATTATATAAGTTTGTATATTTATTATCAGAACAGTACATTATTAATAATCTTATTTTTCTCATATATGATCTATGAGTCTATGAGTTTATCGTTTAAATTGGGAACCATCTATGACAACTATGCTATCCAACGTGAATCTGTAAATGCTATAGGTTATCAAATTATTTTTTTAATTAGGCAATATATCATCTGTGGTAATATGAACAAATGTGGAAAAGTTCCATATCAATATAACCTTAAGCATAGTTGTTATCAGTCAACATCTGTTTTAATAGAGCCAAAATACTCCTTGGTTGAGAGAAAGGCAAAATTTTGTTTTATTTTTTAAAATTTTAATCAGTATAAATAAATACTGAAAAAATACCATATTATTATTATTACTTTTAATATTTACAACAAGGAGTTAAAAATACTACAATAAAAAGTTATAAATAATTTTTATTATAATTATTATTTAAAACATTTAAAGAAAACTAAAAATTTTAACACAGGCTGAAACTAAGTTGATCAATAATAAATTTAAACAATTTTAAAGATATTAAGTTAGTTTTCAGTTTTGGTGAAAACCATAAAATAAAGATTTATCTTAAGCATCAGTAAGGGCTGCTACTCCTGGTAAAATTTTTCCTGTAAAAAACATGTTTATTATTATTAAAGATAATTGCAATAAAATTTGAATAAAACAAGTCAACATTAGTTTATTAATAAAATTATTAATAATTAGTAATTAATATTTATAATTAATGAGTGTAGGGTTAAAAATATAAAAGTTCATTTTGATTTTATGGTTTGATTCAATAGTTCATTAGCAGCAATATCAAATAATGAAATCCATTTCATAAAAAATATTTTCATCTTTCTATTATTTTAAAGTCCATTTTTGTTTTAACATTAAAAGGATAGGAATTTATAACATCATTATTGCTATACTGAAAAATTTACAGAAATGGACAATTACTATTTTCCCCCGTACCATTCAACTAATTGTTTTAATTATTTAATTGATAGTTATAAAAGATATAATACTCTAAATATCTTATATAGAGTATTCTATAAATAATACTAGTTATTAAAAAAAATTATTAACACATATAATTTATATTAAAAATTTTTTTAATAAAAATTATAATTTTATTTTTATTTTATATTCCTTAAGCGTTTTAAATTAATTATTAAAAACTTGATACAGTTTGTAATCTTTAGACATATTGAACAAAATTGATCCAATAGAAGTTGATTAATAAGCAATACTTTAGTTAGAATAGTATTACAAAAAAAAAAAAAATCCAGCAGAGTAAAACCAATAGATTATCAGCTACGATTCGATGCTAAAAATATATGCAATAATATTTCATAAAAGTTGGGTTGAGTTTAGGAGAACAAATAATGTTAAAAATAAAAAGCTAAAAAAAAATGCTCAAGAATAGAAAATATTTTTTCTGGAAACATTGCTCGAAGAAAACTAAATCCATAATCTTATTTAACATAATTCAATTCTACTATGAATAATTCTTGTCCAACTTTATAAATTAATGAGCTATTAATTCTTTGATCAAGGATTCCATTTAGTATTTTTCCACATATCTATCACCAAATTTATATAGCATCTTCACTTCTAAAACTTATTTCTAAGTGCAAAATGTGTTCACAACAGTAACAAACATTATTTGGAGAAAATTAATAATTAACAAAATTTATTTAAGCATACATAAACTAGGATATTAAATACACCCAACCCAACCATTATTATTATAAAAAATTCATAACATTTAAAACTAATTAAAATTTATTTAACATACCTTCAAGTAGTTCAAGACTAGCACCACCACCAGTGCTTACATGACTTAATTGGCTTTCTGTACCCCATTTGGCTGCACATGTAGCTGTATCACCACCTCCAATTATGGAAACAGTTCCATTTTTTGTAGCTTCAACAACTGCATCCATTAAAGATTTTGTACCAGCAGCAAATTTCTCAAATTCGAACACTCCAGCTGGTCTATAAAATTTTTCAAATAAAATTATGATTTTTATACATAACTAATACATAAAAATCTTTTAAATCTGGGTAGTAAATAAGTGATGGGGTATAATTCTGTTACTTTGGGCTATGTAAGTTTTCTTTTACTCTTGTTTAAAAAACAATATATTTTAAGAAATAATGTTAAACATAAATGTAAAAAAATAAAAAATAAAAGTTAATCAGTTCTCATAATTTTTTAACTATTGAATAGATTTTAAAGTATATGGAAAAGTTATTTTATAAAATACACGGTATGTATGACACTTATATTTTCTAGTAAAAACATGTACTTAGGTGCTTTTTAAGAGAAAAATTTAAAAACTTTGACGATATTGTATAAAAAATGATTAATTAACACTATTAAAATGTACTTGTAAAGTAAAATATATAAATTGTACAAACTTAAATAAATATGTTTACCCATTCCAAACAATAACTTTAGCACGAGCAATAGGTTCTGAAAATAATTTACGAGATTCTGGTCCACAATCTAAACCCATCCATCCATCAGGTATACCATCTTGAACAGATGCAGAACCAGTAGTAGCATCTTCAGCAAATTTATCAGCAGTAATAAAATCAGTAGGCAAATGAATCTTTACATTGCGACTTTTTGCTTTTTCTAATAATTTGTGTACAATTTTTGCACCAGATTCATCATATAAAGAATTTCCTATCTATATTAATCATAATATTCAAGCATTAATTATATATATATATATATATATATAAACAAACATGGTTACTTTCATGTTATTGACTTCTTTGAGGAAAGTGTAAGCCATGCCACCACCAATTATCATTTCATCAACTTTATCCAACAAATTTTCAATTAATAATATTTTATCAGCCACTTTAGCTCCACCCAAAATTGCTAAGAAAGGTCTAAAATATATTAAATAAAAAAATTTTCCATGAAATTATTCATTTAAAAAATACTATTTAAAGTAAGCATTAGTATGGCACAAAATATATCAACTTTGAAAATTATTATCAGACATAAAAAATAAAACATAAAACATAAAAAATTTGAGATTGAAAAAATAAATTTTTACAAATCGCTAAACACATTTTTTGTTTTAAACAAAAACAAAACCCTAAATTATTAAAATATGATTTAAATTCTAGATTTTAGTCAATTTTAATCTATAGTATATGTAAAACATAGTATTTTTAATGTAAAAAATGATTTTATAATTTTTAAGACCTATCTTGATTATATAATTAACATAAACATCTAATAATATAAAAATTTGAAAATTTTAATAAAGCCATATATTTTTTTAAAGTTTTGAAAAATTGAAGTTTAAGCTGGTTGTTTCATTTATAATATGGTGTAATCAATTTTTTTACTAATAATGAAAATTAAAACCTTATATTTTAATAAATCATATACTTCATATTATACAGAAAACATAATACTCGTACTTAATAGTTTATACAATAATTTTCTACAATATGTATTAATTATAAATTATTAGAACACTTAAGTAACAAATAAATAAAATAAGCATATTTATTCATATTTTATGTCAATATAGGTTTTAGAAATTTTTCTAAATATATAAAATCTTTTTTTTAAATTAAAAATACTACATTTTAAATATCCTAATGATTATAATTGACCTAAATTTAGAATCTGAATAATTAGGGGGTATTTTTGTTGAAAACACAAATAGATCTGTAATCATTTTTTTTTCAATCTCAAATTTTCAAAATATGTTTTTTTGTATACTTTATAAATGTGATGGATGTGTGATAAAGTTTTCAAGGTCAATTTATTTTGCTCCTTTTATCATAAAATATCCATTCTATATTATTATAGTATTTCATATTATCATAACATTCATTTATCATAACAAATTCAATGACTAGAAAATGAAAATAATGTAAATATTAGCTTCGATGCGAAGCTGAAAAGGTATTAATTTTACTATGATGTGTTTTTTGTTGTGTCTGTTACCACTTTTTCTCAGCTCTCACTGAACCGATTTCTTTCAATGATACATCAAAAGATCACAAATCGTATCTAGTCGAAGATATTACGCTCAAAAATTGAAAAAATTTTCCTCGTTTCCCGTAAATGGGGAAAACCTCCAAAAAAATTACAAATTTAAAAATCGCTAATTTTCGAAATTTTTTCAATTTTTTTTACTAAAAACTGCCGTAACTTTTTCAAAAATAAACATATCAATATAATTATTTTTTATATAGATGCATATTATCATTACTTTTCATTTGGTATATTTTTTTCATAAATTTAACCCTTAACCTGCCCACAAGGGGGGATTTAAAATGACAACTTTTTCACAAAAAATTAACTTTTTCAACTTAACTTTTGAAAATGTTCCGGAAGGTCTGACACTTTTATATATATCTTAAATTAAAGCTGATGTAATATACTTCATTATGGAAAAAAAAAATTTCTGACTTTATTTTGTCTTCATAGTGAAAATAGCTACCGTATTCAAAAATATGCTATTTTTGTGTTAAAATTCTTGGTTTTGNAAAATGAACTAATCAATATAATTTTTTTTTTTATAGATGCTTGATGTCTTGACCTATCATTTGGTATATTTTTTTTATAAATTTAATCCTTTACCAGTCCACAGGGTGAATTCCTCCCTTATTCACAAAAAATTAACTTTTGAAAGTGTTTTGGAAATACTGACACTTTTATATATATCTTAAATTAAAGCTGATGTAATATACTTCATTATGGAAAAAAAAAATGTCTGACTTTATTTTGTCTTCATAGTGAAAATAGCTACCGTATTCAAAAATATGCTATTTTTGTGTTAAAATTCTTGGTTTTGTATTTTATTTTATTATAAGGGGATTACACTGATTTTCATAAATATTATATCAATCTAATTGACATAGTATAAAAAGTTAAACATATTTAAATTATTTTGTTTCTTTGAAGTCGAGAAAAATAACTTTAAAATTTGAACTAGCTAAATTTCCATTTTTATTAAGTGACGAATGCGAGGTACAATTTCTGAGACGGTAACACTGTGGAACTGAATTTTTTCTTAATTCTTTTTGAGTTAGAAAAAAATGTTTAACTCATTTGATTTTTATCTCATTTAGATTCAATAACTTCAATAAATATCAAGGATTCCATTACTGTAGTCTCCTCTTGTGAGAAGAAATTCATATTAATATTATTTTACTATGTGGTTTTTTTTGTAGCTATCATTTATATTCTCAGCTCTCACTTGACCTACTTTTTTGACAAATTTTTTTTTTTTAATTAAACACTATCTACAGATTTCATCGAAGCGTTTTTTATGATAGTGATTTTAATCACTGTTTTTTTTTTAAATATATTTTTAAATGGTCATTGATTTATTGTTGATTGACCATTAGATTTTTTTAAAATAATAATAATTTTTAGATTTTTTTTAGCTTTGTTTAATTGTATTTTTTATCAATTTATGGAAGATTAAATATTTATAATGATAGTACCTTCTAAAATACTGTTTAATTGTTATTATCAATTAGTCTCATTTTACTTAGATAATTTTGCTACAATGTGAACTAATTAAATTTGTATGTTGATATTTAACGAAATTAAGTTGACTTTAGTTATTGGTACTAAAAATATATGTAAAAATTATAGTTTTTAAATTTTGCTAAAAATGTAATTAATATGTAGATTTATTTCAAAAACTTATTGTCTTCTATTAGATTTGGTGATCCTAATATATATTTTCGTTTTTTAGCCTATAATTAATTTTTGAAATAAGATCCATAGTCATGTACTAGTACATGTAGTGGTGTAAAAAGGATATTTTCAAGGGAGGCTATGGATAGACTTTTTTTTTCTGTTTAACATATACTCTTACTAGCACCAAAAATTATATAATGTTAGTAGTAATAATTAACTAATTAGGGGGCTACAGTTACTTTAGCCTATCTCTTGATTATATCACTAAGCACATGTCTATTTGTAATTATATAGATACTTACGACTTCAGTTATAATGATAATCACAAAAAATATTTCCAAAATTATTTTTATTTTGTAATTAAGTGGCTTGTACTAAATCACTTTATATTGTACCTTTCTGGGTTATCCAGCGCTTTGGCAAAGTATGTTAATTCCTTGTTTAACAAAAATCCGGCTGCACGTTTTTCAAATCCTTCACCTAACATAGAGCTATGAGGTCTGTGAGCAGTACCAAAAGCATCATTGACATACAAATCCCCTAATTTGCGTAATGACTCCCTGAATTTTTTGACATTTTCTTTATCAGCTTTGACCTTTTCACCAGCTTCATTTACACCCTTTCCTTCTTCCTCAATATGATATCTCAGATTCTCCAGAAGAAATACTGTACCAGGAGTAGGATCAGCACAAGCTTGTTCAACTTCAGGCCCAACACAATCAGGTAAAAATGTTACATTCCTAAAGTTAATGAATATTATATTAATTTTATGATAACATAATTGCTATTTATTTACTTTTTAATTTTCTGACAAAGGTTGAATATATGATTTTTGTGAAGATTTTGATTTTTGAGGATTGAATGTAAGGAGGATATGTTTCTATAGGAAAGAAGGAAAATAAGTAATAGTTCTTAAATAAGAAATACTAATCAAGGAAAAATTTTTTAATAAGGAATACTTACTAATAACAAATAAATTTAAATTCTTTGCATTTCAATTATAATGAGTTTAAAAAGCTTATGGTTAGTAAGAATGAACAAGTAATATTAAAAACAAAAATAAAATTATTATTTATAAATTATAACTGTACATCAAAGAAAAACACAAGAAAAATATCATAAGTAACATTTTTCAAAAAAATGGCGACCTCTGAAATTGTATGCAATTATAACATTACTTTAGTATCATTAATTTTTTACAGCTTACACTAAGGAATAAAAATGTTTGTAATGTAATGTTAAATCATTATTATAGTATAAATTTTTTGTAGGAAGTTAGCACAAACATAATGAGAGGGATCTATCGGGTAAGTACTTCTCTCATTATTTTTAAAAATGATATTATATTTATATTTATTAAGCTAATCTCAATAGTATCTATTTTAACGTTCTTATTTTTTTTAACATCAGTTGTTATAAAACAGAATAAATAATGAAAAATATCATAAAACTAATATTACAAAAATTGTTATTTTCTTCTAAAAGGTCATTGCTTATAACATTTACTCTATCACTTATGCACTATTAATACTACAGTTAAAGGGAGCATTATACTTATGATTGATTTATATAGTATTTTTTATTTATTACAAAATTAACATTTTGACTTAAAGCCATATTATTTTAGAAATTAAAATTAATAAAACTATCAAATACTTTTTGATATTCCCAAAATTACTCTATTAAAAAAAAAACAACATTTATTTACAGTAATAACTTTTAACATACAGTTGTACTCTTTTTCTCGATTCGGTATAAACGTTTCAATGACTTCAGAATTTCTGAAGTTATTACTTATGTATGTTGCTATTTGAAAAGTTAAAGTTGACACCCTTACAAAGGTTTAAGAGATGAACATAAAAAATAATGAATGATAAATTGAGAAAAACATATAACTAAAGGAAACCAATAAAAAAATTATTAATATTATTTTTATTTTTCAATTGGTTTATAGTAAGTAAATCACTTTGTATGTTAAAAATTATTACTCAAAATAAATGTTGTTTTTTTTTTAATAGAGTCATTTTGATAATATCAAAGTCTTTTTAAATTTAAAAATCTTTTGATGTTTTTCAGAAAATTTATTATATTTTTTATTTTAAGTTTTAATACCTATTTTATTTATTTACAATAAAAATAAACATTCNATTTAATATATTTTTTATTTTAAGTTTTAATACCTATTTTATTTATTTACAATAAAAATAAACATTCATTTTAGAAATATTAGTTACATATTAAATACATACTGTGATTATTTTTTTAGTGAGTTATGATAAAAAATCACTCTATATAGACTTAACATTTAATTTATTACCTATTAAGAAGTTTTTGAAGTTCTTCAGCAACTGGTTTCAAGGAGTATTTAGCATTAGGTAAACCATCTGGTCGTCCAAGATGAGACATTAAAACAAGGGACTTAGCTCCGTTATCAAGTACATATTTAATGGTATCCAGTGCAGCAACAATACGTTGATTATTAGTTATTTTACCATCTTTCAATGGAACATTAAAATCAACTCTAAAAACACAATTTCAAAAAAAAAAAATGAAGATTTTATAATAAAGGAATTTTTAACTAACATAGCATTTATCCAGAGATTTACTTCATTTTTATTTTTTATTATTTCTATTATTCAATAAATATAAAAAAATTCATTAAAATAGATATTTTTTTTTAAATAATCATTTTGCTCAAGTGGTTTTGAAGCATTTGGAGAAATATAGTTGATTAAATTAATTTTTAATGTGACCAGCATTAGAAAAAAATAAAACAAAACCTTCATAAAATAATGACTAAATGTGTAAAATGCCCATGTTGAATAATAAAATTTAAATAAAGGTTTTTAATTTTTTTTTTTTGTTGACCTTATTATGAGCAATCAAAATCTATTAGGTCAATTGACCAAATTTGAACTAATCAATTGATAATGTCTCAACCCTAATATACACTGATTATATTCTATATAATAAGAAAAATAAATATATTAGGTATATAATTCAAATTAATAAATCATGGTTCCAAAAATATGTCATAAAAAAATTGATATTTATAATTGTGGTAATTAGATATCAGCTTTAACTGATATTTGGATATACATTTAATAGATATATAAATGAAACATGAAACATTATGTATTACAAAAAAGGAAATGAACAATATTGATTAAATTTTTGATTTGTAATTCAAGTCGACTCGTTCACTGGTACGACCTATCATTTACATCATTGTTAAAATATTGTAATGAAAGAAAAACATCTTACTTTAATAATTATTAAAAATAATCACACATCAGGATATGGCTTAATTTAAAAAAAGGCATTTTGAGATAAATGATTTAAGAAATTTGACCTTCCACTAAAGTTACATGGTTATACTTTATTTTTAGCATTAGTTACAAATGGAAGTAAAATTTCATAAATAGATCCTATATCAATCGATAGAAAATAAATACCCCAATTAATATATACAGAAATGTAAAAAATCATTATTTTCGATTTGATACCTTATAGTTCTGACTGCACAATATGTATTATTAAATAATTTTAAAATATATTAATTTTCTAACCTTATTAAAACTCGTTTATTTGTTACTTCTAAACTCTTTACACTAAGCTTGTTTAACGCCATTCTTGTTTACAGATGAATAAGAAAAAAATTGTTTATAATGATATCGACTTAGAATAAAAATCTCAAAACTTACAGGAAGAAAAAAATTTATAATTTTACTATCCAGAATCAACGTTAGAGTAACAACCTAAAATAAAGGATTATTGATTTTTCAATGATAAGCTGCCGGTAAAACTAATGTCACACTGCAAGTAAAGAGTTCTTATCAGTATAACCTTGACTAACATGTCGGTCATTTCAAACTTCTGAATTGAAATTATTCTATAGCATTTCTAGCATAACTTGTGTTAGCTTCGATGCTAAGCTGAGAAGGTATTAATTTTACCATGATATGTTTTTTACAATATATTAAATATCTCAATTTATATGTTGATTAGTAAGAAAAAATTTTCATTTTAAGTCACAAAGGAATTAATGTTGCAAAAAGTAGTCTATTTAACAAAATATCAAACTGATGGTATTTTCAGAGCTTTTAAAAATACATTTTTTTTTATTGTAATGAATACAAGACAATTAGTACTTTTTATAAACATCATATTTTAAGTGCTGTTAATGGTCAAATTAAATTAAACTAAAAATTAGTAAAATTATATAATGAGGACTGATTACTCTTATCTAATACTGTATTAAATATTAATTTAAAACTAAAAAATAATTCAAAATTGGGTATATGTATTTTGGAAACAATTTTACCATAAGCACTAAACACAGTTTTCATATTTTTTTATAGCTTTTAAAATAAAATATTTTTAATAATTTTCAGCTTTATTTAATATGCTACCTTAAATGTAAAAACCAGATTGTTGGACTTTTAAATATTTATTAATATTATTTTTAAGGCGTCTGGGTACCGACCGCTTTTTAGTCAAAAACAACCCGTTTTTGTTCCATCAGTACGACGAAACTACTGATGC